ATATATTTATAAAAAATCAGTGAGATTTACTTGCTTTAAGCAGTGAAGTTCCAAGATAAAGCCTGAAAATAGAGTTTGCACTTTATAAAGCTTCCACACCCCTGGGAGGAATTAGACTGACTCTAAAAGCTGATATCACAGCGACGCCGTGGTTGCTGGGGGAGCTCAGAGGTTGGTGTGGATTTATGGAATGGATGGCTGCTACTTGTAGGAAAGGACAGCGGAAGAGAGTAATGGGAGGGTGGAATCTGCGCAGCCACGCGCGTCGCCAGGAGTGCTCACCAAGTGACTGGAACTGGGAGCGGGTTGGGCAGTCTCAAATGCCCTTGCCAGCTGGGAGCAGTTACACGCTGACTCACCACTTGTGACGTGCGTTTTTTTTCACCGTCATAACACTATAACAAGGAAAGACCTGCCGGACTAGCTTTAGCTCAGCGGTTCCTTCGCGGTTCTACAAATTAACCAAACACCTCGTGTGTGGTTCGAGCCCCGCGGGCGCTTTCTAGTCCTTTTGCTGAGGCTTCATTTTCAGCGGTGTAAGCACCCTTGGACAGTCGCCGGGAAGCTCCCAGAAAGGCCTGTTTTCCGGAACTATTTTTGTCTTTTATAATGTAATTTTCAGCTTGAGGTCTAAAGGATTTTTTCTTCTAAATTTCATTGATTTTCTAAGATATTCCTCTGAATTTTCCCATTCCAGATGAGTTTTCCTAAGCTCATTGAAGATGCTTTTGATATGCAGTCAAGTTTCAGAAAGTTTTCTTGCGTTGTAATTTTGAATATTACATCTATTCTACTGTTTTCTTCTTCAGGGCTGTAATACCTCTGGGGTTTCTCGGCCGCTGTATCTACCAACGTTCCCCAAGGACCCTCTTGTTGCTTTCTTGATTTTGTTTTTATTTCTTTCCTCAATTCAAGTAATTATATTTAAAGTAAAACATTTCCCTTTGGACATCTTTAATTTTAGTCTTATTCCCTTTTTCTGAATCGATTTCCTCCCCCCCAATGCCTGTGATTGACTAACTCTGTTGTCCTTTCTTTTCGTTTTCTTGTCAATTTCTGAGTTGTAGTTCTAGTTTTTTCATGCCACTAAGTGAATGTTTAAGGTTATTTAATTTAGGTTGGAGTGCTGTGCTTTAATTTTCCTGTTTCATGGTTAGTTTTAAAATACAACTGATTTTAGCAGAGCGTGGTGGTGCCACCTTTAATCCCAGCACTCTGGCCGAGGCAGGCAGATCTCTGTGATATCAAGGCCAGCCTGATCTACATAACAAGTTTCAGGCCAACTTGGGGCTACGGAGAGACCCTGTCTCAAAAAAAATTATATATATATAATTCATTTTAATTTTTAATTTTCTTCATGAAATATTATGCTTGCTATTTTCTGTGTGTTTTGAAACGTGTAAAAAAAAAATTTCCTGCTTTAGCACTTGCAAGAGATTAGTAAGATTTCTGAGCTGAGTGCCTCCTGGTGTTCGTAGAGCAGAATGCACGCTGAAAAAGGCTGGTTCGTCGGATGGTGGTCTATTTTGTAACTCGTCTCTGGGGGATTCTTCGCAGTGTGCTTCTTTCTCTTCTCAGTCAGCTCTCAAGGTGTACATCCTCTTCCTAGCACTTCTTTCCTAGGAAGCGATGCCTTCCCAAGGCTTCCATTTCCATTTCAAACACTTTCAAGACATTCTTTTAGATTTCCTTTCATCTAACAGGTCTCGGACTTACCGTCAGTATTTCTCCAATCAGGTTGGAACTTAATTTTTCTGGTGATGGATTTACCTGTACTACATCACTGCTGGGCTTCTACTGCATTCTGGTCTGTACTGTGCCATCTTGGTTTCCGTTCTATAGCGTGGCACTATAACAGTGTCTACTGGTTTGGGAGAGTATTTATCTGAATATATAAAATGAGATTTATGATAGTTTTTGCAACTTATTTGCCCTCTTAGCTTTGCTTTGTGGCAGTAATGTGAAAGATTCAAATTCAGAGGGCTGGCATTATTCTATGAAACTCTAGAAGCCAGGTCCTTTACTTTTACTTCCTTTTCATTAAAAAAAAAAAAAAAAATGTAGTCCAGGGCTGTGAGA